TCCTGATCTATCGAGTTATTCACATTCAACTATGGAAATTCTTCTTAAGAGCTGAAATCAAGATTTCAGTGTGGCCAAGAAGAATCAAAGTTTATTAAATCAATCATTCCGCATAGGAGCCATTCCATAGCGCAAAACCAAAGAGAGTACTGAGAGGAGAGGAGTTCAAACCCGACTCAAGGCCTAATAGATCTGTTCTTGCTACCTTGCTTACTTCCTTGGGGGAGGTTGACAAGAACAAGCTGTTACAGAATCAGCTGCTATTGAACATTTTAGGACTTATTTTTTTAATTTTATGATTTTTCTAACAATTTAGAGTCATGGTCATCAAAATAGATTAGTCTAAGCATCCACGTCATTTCAGATTTTCTTTTGTGCAACTGCCCCTTTTGTTATCTAATTATGCCCCTATTTGGTTTAGTTAAAAAATTAAATTTTTAAAAGAATTTTAATAAAAGTTGATGAAATGTCTGATTAAAAAGTTAAAAAATATTATGAATTCTATAAAATGTGGTTGAAATAAATTTGAGGAAGATTAAATTTTAGAAAATGGGGTCAGACATGAACTATGTTTTTCTATCTCTTTTCATATATAATGAAGATATTATGAGGATCAAACAAAAGAGACGAAAGAGGATATTTGACCGAGCACCAAAAGGGATGCAACATCATGTAACTCGGGAGATTATTCTATATTTCTTTAGGCTTATATTGAGGACATTGTAACTTTAGAATATTCTATGAGTCAACTGTGAGCTTTAAAATTTTGAAAATTCAAAAAATATGCTCGCGCGCTACTTAGTTGGATCGCCTTATCATTTAACGATGAGTTTATGCTTGAAATTAAGTTGATTTGCGATATGTGACTTAATGGTGGTACTTGTGCTTATTTTGATCAATTAATTAATTATATGTGTCATTAGGCACATAGTAAAATTTGATTGTTGTTTTGGTATGAGAATTATTGTGTAAATAGGATGAATTCTAGAGTTGGTAGAATTAGGTCGTATTTTTCTCTAAATACAACATGTTCCATTAAAAATAAACCACTTGACCTAATTGTAAGAAGAAGTTTGGAGATGATTGAGCCCACAATGGTGATTATTTATATATGTGCATGTTGAATCTCTCTTAGGTGCTTTTGGCTAACGGTTGAAGTTAAGCATTGATTGATGCTAGAATTTTAGTTAAAAATCCGAATTGTCACTAAATTTTGAGTAATATTTTTTCATTGCACATCAAACTTCAAAAGTTTTTTTTGGATTCTCATTGAACTTATCATATCGTTCCAACTGATCACTAAATTTTAAAATTTTTTTGGGATGGCTATCGAACTTATTAAATTATTATTCCATCCATCACTAAATAACCGACTTTTCAATAAATTCGACCGACTAGAGACGACGGGACAAACAGAAATGCTGATAATAAATCAGCCAAAAAATATGCTTATAAAATGCTATTAACGGGAAAAAAAAATACTAATTGAAAAATGATAAACAAAAGAAAACAGACAAAAGGTTAAAAAATCAACTCCATCTTTTATAAGCACTTTTAATAGATGAAGGAGCATTTTTGATTGATTTTAGATGAATACGCCTATCAAACTATGAGATTTTGGACATATAATATTGCCTATTTAAAAAAATGTTAGTGTGGTTATGATCTCATGCATATTTATAACAAAGATCTTGTTTGTGAACTCGATCGTGCCATAAATTTTAGTTAAAAATCCGAATTGCCACTGAATTTTGTATAATATTTTTTCATTGGACATCAAACTTAAAAGTTTTTTTGGATTCTCATTGAACTTATCAAATCGTTCCAATTGATCACTAAATTTTAAATTTTTTGGGATGGCTATCGAACTTATTAAATTATTATTTTATCCATCTCTAAATAACCGACTTTTCAATAAGTTCGACCAACTAGCTGACGTGACAAACAAAAATACTGACATGACATATTATTGTCATTAGTTGATCACAAATTAGTCAAAAATATGCTTATAAAATGTAAAATCAACTTCATCTTTCATAAGCACTTTTAATAAATGAAAGAGCATTTTTGATTGATTTTAGATGAATAAGCCTATCAAACTATGAGATTTTGGACATATAATATTGGCTATTTAAGAAAATGTTAGTCTCTTTACGTGGTTATGATCTCATGCATATTTATAACCAAGATCCTGTTTGTGAACTCGGTCGTGCCATAAATGTGTCGTACAAGTAAGTTGTTCTCCCTAAATGTGATGTCCCAATATTCTTCCAATTTTGAGTAAGAATTTTACAGAATGGAAAATTAGTTTTATGTGGTGTTTTCTTCTTTGGTGAGGAAAGAAATGTTGGAAAAACTGGATAAACTAAGTTAAATGGCTGACTTTGACACTCATTTTGAGCAGGACCCGCTTGGCTATTTTAAAAGATGAAAGTTGATTTGTGTTATCCTCCGTGAGTACATCGTAATCATATACTTGTCAAAAATGATGTTCGGGTGAACTAGAAATTGAAGCTCAGAGTATGTCACGTGAAAGGAGTTTGTTGGTGGGAAAATAAATATTTAAGCTTTGTCCCACATAAGAAGTGGATGAAAGTTAAAACCACTTTATAAAGGATTGCACTTTAGAATTGTGTAATCATGTGTAGTATAGAGGCTCTCTCCACGTGCGCGCTCCGGGGGTGCAAATTNCCTGGGAAACGGACGCTCTGTTAAACCTCAAGCAGAGACGGTGAGGGAGCGAATCTGTTTTAAGGAAACTGTGTGGAACACAGGCCTCGGGTTATAAGTTTCCTGTTATTTAACTTTTGCGATTATTTGTTTGTCACTCGTTTATGCTAATTTGCGTTTTGCAAGTCTACTAACAATTTCGTTACTAGTTCTACATGTTTAAAGTTGTAGTTCTGCTTAAATCAGCTGTTACACTATACTGCGATTTAACATATTGTCGAATCTGCTGTTGTATTATATCTGTTGTGTATATTTGAATCCATTGTACTCAAAGTTATTGAATCTGCTACTGCGAATCCGATATTCAATATTAAAACAATTTTCCTACAAGAAAGACTTGACGTAATTTAAAGGAAACATTTAGGAGATAGAAAATTAAAATCATATAATATCAAAATCTGTGCCAACCATTAACTCATGTCTGATTAAAAAAAAAAAAATCCTCTGTTCTTTATCTCTCTGTTGTTTTAAATAAATTGGAGTTTAGAATAACCAATGTCCATACTTACGCTTTTAGGCCTTCAGAAAGATAAAAAATAAAACACGGTTTTAGCAAGTATATGCTGTGAGCTCTTTTCTCTCTCACACACACTGTCCCCCTTGAAATCCACTCCACTCTCATACTGCACTCGGTATCACTATCTTCTTCGAGTTCCCGAAATCCAATGTCTACGGTTCTCCCACTTACAGCTACGACCCACCTTCCTTACTCACTTTTTCACCAATTCAAGAAACGCCCACTTTGTTTCTTGCCACCACAACCTCCTCCTACTCTTTGGTCTCACCCACCTTGTTTGGTTTCACTGAGGATTAGGTATTGTCCGAGAACTTTGTTGCACAAGAATGAGCTTCTTGCTCGGGCCGAGGATAAAGCCCGAGGTGGCTCTTCTTCTTCTTCGTCGACTCAACAACCCAACTCAGATAAGAAATTTCAGGTCTTGATGGTCAGCGTACTTTATTTGTTCTTGAGGAAGATCACACTTTTAGATAGTAGATAGTTCAGTTCATTGTATGTCCCCTGTAGAAAAAAATTGAAGTTAATTTCTTACTTCATATCTGTTTATCTTAGGTGATTTTTATGTGAGGCTGTTGAATTAATAAACTAGATTAATTTTTCGACTAATCCATAAATATCTAGATTAGTGCTAGAATTTTTTTAATGCATGAATTAAAGAGAGTATATGTATGTCCGTTGGTGTTATTCATGTACTTAGATAGAGGGAAAGTATGCAATTAAATATTGATACATATACTAGACTAGGTTATGTTGAGAAAATTCTATACACACACACGTGTAATCTAGTCATTTGAAAATCAAGTCAAGTTGAATTGATAATAGAATCACATATATTTCTCTACTTTTTCTTGAGTTTGAGCATTGAGTGAATTTATGCTCTCCAATTTCTAACAAATTGGTATCAGAGTCGCTTGTGATTGGAGATAATTGAAGAAAAGATGATGAATGGAACTCCATTTCTCGTTCCACCACTCACCAAAGAAAATCATGATAATTGGTGCATTTGTATAAAGGCTTTGCTTGGACCCTATGATGCTTAGGAACATGTGGCGCAAGGTATGGCAGTAGAAGATGAAGATGCAGCTGCCATGAAGAAAGATCAAAAGGCATTATCTCTCATCTATCAAAGTTTAGATGAAAAGATGTTTGAGAAGGTTACTAGAGCAACCACCTCCAAGGAAACATGGTGAAAGAATGTGTTGGAAAAATGGTTGGGTGGCTGACTTTGGAGCTAAATTTGAGTGGGACCCGGTTGTTCATTTTGGAATATGGAAGTTGATTTGTATTCTCCTTCGTGAGTACATCGAAATCATGTATTTACTTGCAAAAAATGATACTCGGGTGAATGAGAAATTGATGCTCAAAGTATGCTATGTGAAAGGAGTTTATGTGGGTAAGAAAACTAAAAGTATACTTGTCTCACATAGGAAAATGAGGAAAGCAAAAACCACTTTATATAGGATTGTATTTTGGAAGGATGTAATGGTGTAATCATGTGTAGCATAGAGGCTTTCTCCACGTGCGCGAGCAGGGGGTGCAAATCACAGATCGAAATGGGTTTCAGACCTTGAACTCGTATGCGAGTGCTATATGCGCACACGAATGTCGGACCGGATTGACTAAAAATTGGCCCCTCAGGGGGGCCTACGTTTTGGAATTTGTTTTTGCTTTCTAGAACTGACTTTTGGGTTTTTGAAACTCCAAAACGTCTGAAACTCCCTTAGTTATTACAAGTGAGCTATGAAGACTTCGAGTGTTAAAAGTCTATATAAGAGAACATTTTTCCTCAAGTTCAAACGCACGAAATTTCTTCCTGTTTTGCATACTGTCAAACTCCAGTTCTGCATTCTGCTTCTGTCTGTCTTGCATACTATTTTCCTTCTAAACCTTATTTCGATTTTCTGGTGGAGATATTGTTCAAGCACTAACTCAGTTCGCCGGAGTAAAAACTGTTGTATTCAGATTTTACTGGTTAACAGTTGTATCCTGGGAAGCAGACGTTCAGACTATACCTCAAGCACGAACAGTAAGGGGCGAATCTGTTTTAAGGAAACTGTGTTCGCACAAGCCTCAGTTTGGGAATTTATTTCTTGTTGCAATTTCGATTTCTTATTTTGTTATTGTATTGCACTTAACGAGTTGTTTTCGTAAGTTGTTTTCCTTGTAGTTAACGAGTTAATACCCTAAATAGTCATCGAACTTTGTCAAAAGTTCTCAGGGGGTCACCAAACTTCAAAACTTTCTTAATTAGTCACTGAACTTTGCAAAAAGTTCCTAGAAGGTCACTGAACTTCAAAACTACCCTAAATAGTCACTGAACTTTGCTAAAACTTTCTAAGAGGTCACCGAACTTTGCAAATTGTGACCTTATACATCAACGATTTAATGACCCCCTATGAATTTTTTGCAAAGTTAAGTGACTAATTAGGGTAGTTTTGGAAAGGTTCAGTGACTATTTAAGGTAGTTTCGAAGTTCAGTGACCTTTTAGGAACTTTTTGCAAGGTTCAGTGACTAATTAGGAAAATTTTGAAGTTCAGTGACTTCCTGGGAACTTTTAGCAAAGTTTAGTGACTATTTAGGGTATTAACTCTGCAGTTAACATATAAAGAAGTTTGTATTTCGGCCTAGTAGTTTATCCACTAAAATATTACAACAAACTTAAAACAGATTCAAGGAATATTTTTTCCTTATATTGAATGCTTTAAAACAGAAACTTATTTTTTTTGTTTTTTTTTTCCATTTCAGAAATGGCAACCGATTCTACCAATATGGATGTGTCCCAATCTGTGGCTACTCAAACTTTTGCTCAGACTGTGGCTATAGTGCCAAGTCATGTTGTGAACCAACCCGTGTGTCTACTGTTCCGGTTCATCATGGTGAAAAATCAGAAAAATTCAATGTCTTGAATTTCAAGAGGTGACAGCAGAAAATACTATTTTATCTGACCACTTTGAATCTTGCGAGATTCTTGACTGAAAGTGCTCCAAAACTGAATGAGGGTGATGGAGATGTTCAAGCGATCAGTGCACTTGATGCTAGGAACCATTCGGATTTTCTATGCCGAAACTATATTATGAACAACTTATCAGCCGCG